TCCCCACGCAAGACTCCAACGCACGTACTCCAAAATGTGCAAGTAAGGAATGAGACTGAAAACAGACAATGGCTGGGGTATACCTCAGCTGACTGACGGGACTGGACTGGACTGGCTGGTACCGACAGAGGTACCGGCCTGGACTGGCCTACCCCGAATATAACACAGGCCTGTGAGAACAGGCCAAGGGGCTGGTCTCACAGGCCAACCCGAGGTCCGCTACATGAACGGCCTCCTCACACAAACCCTTGGCTAGCACAACGACTACTTCGTCGTATCTCAGCGCTGCTTTGCAAGGAGTGATCTCTACTCTTCGCGAGAAAGACTCTGAGCTCTATCAACAGCTTGGTGTTCGACAGTGCTGGATCGTTCAGAGTGCCGATGAAGTGGCTATTGACCTAAAAAACGATGCATCGTCTCTTCGTGGCCTCTCTCCTCACACTGTTGATTTTACCATAATGTACACCAACCTTCTTCAGGACCGCATTCTAAATAATGTGGCAAAAGTTGTTGATGAAGCTCATGCTTATGCCCTTCGGCATGCTCGCATGCATTCACGCTGCGTTGCCCTCAACATGGTTATTCGAGGACCTCGTTGTGGCCAATGGACAACTGATTCAGGCCCGGATACCCTTTCTGTTTCTCATATTCTCCAACATCTTCGCTTTGTTGTACAAAAACACTTTTCTGTACACGAGATATGGCACGCTTCGAAATCAAATTATCGGTATTTCAATGGGAACGAATGCCGGCCCAAAAATTTCTACTCTGGCGCTGTATTGGGATAAAGCACGCTTTGTTGATGACATTAGTCAACATGATCTTCAAGTTGCTCAGCAATATGCCTTCACCTATCGCCTCATTTATGATGTTCTTTCATGGGGACAATTACCTCCTCCACCAGAGCACTATGGGCTTGAGTGGAAGGAGAGTACAACTACAAATGGCTCCTGTACCTTTTTAGGTATGCATCTATAGGTCCGTTCCGATGGCTCGCTTCGCATGAGCGTCTTTGATAAAGCGGCTGCTTGGGACGTCCCTGTAATTCGTTATCCAAGTGCGACCTCCAACATCCCTTCCCATCAATCGGCTGGTGTGTTTACTAAGCAATTGACCAGAGTTGAACAAATTTGTAACAATTGGCAGGACTTTCGAACTGCGGCAACAATACTTACTCGTCGTATGCTTTTGCATGCTTATTCCCCACCAACGCTTGCTAAGGGGTGGACCTGCTACATGTGCTCCCGCCAACGTCGCTATCCTACGCATGTAACGCGTCTCTCTCAGTGGTTCCGACGCATGCTGCGATGGTCCTTGTATCATTCCATTTCTTCTTTGCCCCCACGATGCTCTCGTCCTGCCCCTGCTTGCTCATCTGCTGCTACCGCAGTTCCCACTGCTGCAGTCTCCACTCCTGCAGTTTCCACTACTGCAGTGTCCACAGTTGCAGTTTCCACTGCTCCAGTTTCCGCGGCTGTAGTTTCTACTGCTGTGGTTTCCACTGCTGCAGTTTTCGGTACAACAGTTTCCCTAACTGTAATTCCCCCTACTTCAATTTTTACTGCTACAGCTTCCTGTCTTGCAGCTCCAATGCAAAGAACATCACAATCTATCTGGCGCTCACATCCTTTGCTTCGAAATCTTGCCCAATCCACCCCCCTCTCATTTTTGTCTGTGCTTGGCCATAGACGGCTGCGTTCCTCCTCRCCACCCCCATCTCCTCCGCGGTCTCGTTTGCGAACAGACTCTCCAGTTTCCATTGTTCCCATTGTTCCACCTTCGTTGCTAGGGACAAGTTCATCTTCTGTTTGCAACACCACTACTCCTCTTGTTGTGTATCACCGACGACATCCGCGACATGGTCACTTGTCCGGGGATCAGCAACCTGTTTCTTTGTCTGCCCCGATTCTCTGTGTGCCTCCTTTATAGGTTGTTGCAGTTCCTTTGTTTTAAACGCCAATATCCGCTTCTATGCCTCCTGCAGACAGTCCAGCTGCGTGCAGACAGCCACAATACCCTGCGGCGTTAGATATTCATGACTCACCTGTACAACACGATATGGTCCCTGCCCAGAGTACACTCCCGACTCTAGGTACAGTCCCTACTCAGGATGCAGCCGCTGCCCAGAGTACACTCCTGACTCCAGGTACAGTCCCTACTCAGGATGCAGCCCTAAATATTGACGGATTGGACCATGATCTGCCCGGATTGCAGTTGACCCCACAAAGCGTAGACCACATGGGGGATCTGCAAATGGCTGACCAGCATTGTTCGGATGAACCACAATTTTGTGCTCCGGTCAGGCGCAGACCACATGGGTGATCTGCAAACGACTGACCAGCAAACAACCCAACACAGTTTGGGCTTGCAACACCATCTGGGTGATCTGCAAATTGTTGCCCAGCATCCAATAAACCAGATTGAGAACCTCACCAATCTCTGTGGTCTGACGGCAACTAATATCTGTCTTCACATTCTCCACTGCCCGTTTTATACACCATCAGACTTCCTTGCAATCGCCCTTCAGCTTGATGCTAATCTTCCCCAACTACAGCCAGAGGATTGTAATTATACCAGCGAAGGAGGCTTTACCATTGCTGTCCTACAAGTAGCAATGAGGGACCGTCAACTTGAAGTACGCAATGCTCGAGCAGGTGAGTGGTTTAATCCTCCATCCCACATCTCTGCCTGCATTGTGCACAGCCCTGGCCATTACATGGCCATTGTACATGCCTCTGACCACTGGGAGCTGTGGGACATCGGCACCATGGTCCATGCCATGATTGATGTCACTGATTTCTTACAAAATAATGCTGTTTTTTTGCCACAACAAACCATATGCAATCTGTTTTATGTCGAAGATCATTCCTCTGACCCCGTGCTGCAGCAAGACAATGTACCAACACTCTGCGACCTTCTCCTTTGCACAGCCACAAACACTGTTACACTCGGCTGTAGCCGCCATCGTCTCTGTCACAATCGCTACAATGACATGGTTTCTGCATCCATGTGTGCAGAGGACTGTCCCACCGTTCCTGACTGCAGGCACCGTCCGCATTCGGACACTATATGCCCATTTTGCGGCCATGGGCGCTATACTGAATGCATGCTCTTTTGTGGTGACCGCTCTTCTTTCGTTTTGGCCTGCAATCGACATGCCATTTGTCGGGGGTGTATGGTGGGCATGCTCAATGCCACCCATTGTGGCAATTGTTGCACTGAGAATGCTCAGCTGGGTCTTCCATGTGTTCATCAACCTCATCCTTACAATGTATGTCCTCTCGTTCGTCAAGGACAGACTCATTCTTGAGCCTTTTCTTATCCTCTTTTGCCTTCATCTTCGCTCCACACTCTATACTTTCCGTTACTTTCCCTTTATCGTTCTTTGCTTGTCTGCTCTCCATCTTTCTTCCCTGTGTTTATCCCCTCCCCCTTCACTCTGCCTCTTTCTCACAGCGTACAAGTGGGCTGTTATGGCACACGGGGATGGGGGCAGCTCGCGCTCAACTTCATCAACGTGGCGAGCCTTGTACGTGAGAGGCACGGTGAAAGGCGAGTCAAAAGAAGAATGAGAAAAATGAATGGTTTCAAAGTGCCCTTCATGATTGTCTTGTTTTTATTATATTATTATTATTATTATTATTATTATTATTATTATTATTTTATTTTATTTTATTTTTCCGCCGTTTGCTTTGCAAAGTGCGCTCTTTTAGTTCATAGTTATGTGACAATATATATATTAGTTGCGAAACAGCGTTAGCATAAGAGTTCAGACTCTTCAGAGACATCACACCTTGTAATTGATAATCGCAAGCTGTCGTTGAAAATCTTGTATCTCCTCTTCCAACCTATGTATATCTTGCAACAATGAGTTGACTTCATCGTCTCGTTCATCACACTCAGAGGACGTCATCTGAGAGCTTCTATTTGTAAGCCCTTCGGCAACAGCCACGTGAGCTTGCAGCACATTGAAGCTTTCCTGGCAGGCCTCACAACTTTTCAGCAGATCTCTTCTAATCTGCTGCAGCTGCGCTTGGAAAAGCCCCATTCTCCTTGTTCTGCTAGAGGCAGGCAAAAGCAGCCACACACCACCACATAAGCAGCAAGATATGGCCTTTTCTGCACTGAACATTTCAGCTTGACCCAGAGTCCAATCTCTCTGCTGAATCATCAACATCAATACCGCTATGATTATCTACCAAAACCAGTGACATCATGAGCAGGGCAGAGGCGACTTGATATCAGCTCAAAAGGAGAACCTAGCTCACCATGAAAATAATTGCATGCAGTCTTTGTTCCCAACAACCAAATATGAGCAATGGAGCCCGTTGCTATGACCCCTCAACTCCTCACACGCACACACACACACACACACACACACACACACACACACACACACACACACACACACACATCTCTCTCTCTCTCTCTCTCTCTCTCTCTCTCTCTCTCTCTCTCTCTCTCTCTCTGAGAGAGAGAGAGAGAGCGAGATATTAAATGACAGGGATGCAATGGCTGGCTGGTCTGGAACCGGCGACCTGCTGGGTGGTGTATATCAGATTTGCTTCTCCTCATAAAACAGGGCATTATGGTCGTAGCTTCTTGTCATTCTAGGAGTCGTCAATCCAGTTCCTCTCCCGGCCGCAAGCCAGTGCTGAATGTACAGCTCAACCTGACGCTTCCTTCCCTTAAAGTTGAAGGAAAGACACCCATAGATAGGCGGCAGCCATTCTCCCTACAAAAAGCGAAGCACGGACAGTCCACGACATGGAGGGAGGCAACCCAGAGGCCAATTCATGGACGGGCATGTGCAAACACAGCACTCTGGAGCACTCCACTGCTGGTCTATATAGTCCTGTGGAGAAGCAGATTAAGGGCACGTGAGACTGAATGCGGGGCAACAGGTAGAAGTTCCCCAACTTTGGCGTTCTTTTCGCTCTAGGGTACGAGAATTGATGAGTCAAATCAACAACTCAAAGAGAATATGTTAAGTGGACAAACTTCTCAGCATATGTAAAAGCAATCACAAGTTAGTCAAGATATACAAGCAAGAGCAACACTCAGATTGGCCACCCCATCTAGTTCAAACTTCCACCACCCACTCCATCTTCAGGGGGATTCCATCCTTTCTTCTACCTTAATGATCTCCTTGTATCCTCTAGTACATCCTCCGTTATCAGCACATCGTCATCTCAGCCGATCCCAATGAGCTGAAACACTTGTTCGCCTGAAAGAGGATTAGCGCAACTTAGTCACAGCTAAAATACTCGAGTAGTGTCAAAGTGACACTTCACAGAAGATCCTGTCAGGGTAATGTGCGGGTCTAACCACGCACATTACCCTGAAAGCTAAAATTAAAGAAGGGGTAACTTCAGTAGAGTCACAAAAACGAGGTATAATTGCACTACGGGGCAAGATACAGTTTGCAATTGCACTTCGGGCACCCTACCTGGCCAGAAAGCTGGGTTGTATAAATTGCCCCAACTGCAATTCGAAACTGTATCTTGGCCCGTAGTGCAATCAGACTCGTCTTCTTTCTACTCAGCATGCATGAAAACAGATGGCAATCACACTGGCGACGAGCGCCCACACAACGGTCAGAGATATCGTGACCAAGAACACAGTTCTGGTTCAACTTGTTTCAAATGGCTATGGCGCCTGTGCGCCCTCACATCCCTCTTCCGACACTGTATCCTCAGCGACTGTCCACACGCACGCTACTCTGGATCTCCCTGGATGTCCCACACACGCACACAACTCACTGCACACCCATACACAAACACGCTGTAGCCTATCTCTAACGTAGCACAGATATGGCTGCTGGCTAACTCTACCACTAACTAGCGGCTATGGCCGCTTTGTCTCCCTCACAGCCCACTTCTCCTTCGGGCGCTAGCAGACCTCCTTGCACAAGTCGCTCAGGCAGCGCTTCTGCACGGCTCACAGTCTGAATGAATGAATAACTGGACGCTGCCTCTTGATTTATATTTCGGTTGGTCACTGGTCTGCTCCTTTCCTTCGGGCCTAGGATGCACACAGTCCTACATGGTACTTGCTGACTGGACAAGGTGCGACTGGAACTGGGTACCGCTGACTGGACCTGGTAAGTCTGCCCACTTGCCTACGGACTGCTTCTGAGACTCTCGAAGGGGCAGTCCTAGAAGACTCTAGACCTTCCTACTTGTCCTTTCGGTACTGTAGCAGCTACGACTAAGGTTGACCTTTCAGACCTACAGCAGCTACGACCGGACATAAGCTATGACTTCAACCCTACAGGTAAGCAGCTCGAACCTACTCAACCCTCGTATGTGCAACAGCCTTAGACAGACAACTTTAGGGGCAGGTCACGAGTTCAAACCTAGATGGGGCAAACTGTACTGTACACGGGTTCGGGGCAGGTCTAGGGATCAAGCCCTGGGATCTGCATCTGCTACCACGAAAGTGAAAACCGTTTCACTCCCGCCGGCCTAAATTCGAGGTCCTCTGAGAATGTTTTAATTCAAGACGGGATCTTTACCTTTTCTTTCTCTTTCATAGGCGCGGACTATGTCAGGGGTGGTTTCTAGCAGTTCTATTCGTGTAAACCAGTGGTCGTCCTCTGGCTCTTGGTAAGCAAATCAACCTTTGTACTGTTTCTGGGGACGGCCTCTACCTCCGGTTATAAATACATCCTCTTCAATAATGCGGTCAATGCTGTACCTTCCATCCATATCTGGGGGGATCATTGATCTCCTCGATGGGAATCGCTCACTCGTTGTGCAAGGCAACAACTTTGACGCATGAAACACGGGGTACGTGTGGAGGTGCACTAGAATCTCTATGGTGTAGGATGGTACATCCTCTCCGCCCTTAACGTCTAGAACTGGCCACTGTCCTTTTTATGCGGGTAACAGTTTCTGTGAGATGTTCTCCTCAGGAGCAAATTCTTTGAACTTGACCCAGACGAGGTCGCCTACTTGGAACTGCGACGGGCGGCTGTGTTTGTTGGCTTGTTCTATCATCCTGGGTTGGGCCTTCCTTAGGTTCTCTATCAGGGTAGCAATCTCTTTCTCGGCTGTAGCGCAAAATCCCTAGTGTCGGGCGGTAGCCTCTGGATCTGATCCCGGTTCAGTCCCTCAAACGGTCTACGCGGTCTAAAGGACTTGTGAAGTTCATTGGGAGTGCGACAACTTGCTAAATGGACGATGTTGTTATATGCACTGGCTACCTTTGGGATCACCTCATCCCAAATTGACTTGATCAACTCTAATGTACATTCTGAGAACTTGTTGCAGGATCTTGTTCATCTGTTCAGTCTGACCGTTGGTCTTTGGGTGACGGCCAGATGACATTAACAACTTAGAGCCGTAGGCTCTCATTAGCTCCTGCCAAAACTGACCGGTGAACCTGGTATCTCTGTCACTAACTATGGACAGCGGTAGACAATGCTCACTGACCCAATGATAAAAAAACTTCTCCATTCTTAAATTGGTACGTGCCTCTGAAGGCAAAGGAACAAAAACTGCATACTTACTAAATCTATGAACTATAACCATGACTTGGCTCTTGCCATACCTACTCTTGACCCCATCGTCCATGACATCGATGGACACTGAATCTCCAGGTCCTGCAGGAATAGGCAAGGGTATAAGAAGACCAAGAGGGGGCTCGCGTAGTGGTTTTATTCCTCTGACATACTTTACAATTGCGCACATACTCTATGCAGTCAGCCTTCATGCCAGGCAATGTATATGCACGAACGAGGTTGCCTAATGTCTTTTGCCAACCGAAGTGTCCCTCTGTGTCGTGGCATTCCCCTAGGATCAAACTACAGATCTCCTCACTGTTGGGAGCGTATAGTCGATCAGCTACGTTAGTCTTCTCAAATAACAATCCATCTATAGTGCGGTAAGCTGGTTCATACTCTGGGGACTCCTTATCTCTTTTGAGGAGGTCGCTATAAATAGGGTTTTGCACATACGCCTCTTTGACTTTCTGTTGCACGTCTCTCCCTATGTCCGGATAGTGTACTATCGCTCCAAAGTAATCGACTCTCCTACTTAGAGCGTCTACAACTACATTGTACTTTCCTTTGACTGGCTTGAGCTCAAAGTCAAATTGATCCATCTCTGCAGCCCACCTAGTAAGCTTAGGTGTCATCTTGGCCTGCGTCTTCAACCATCTTAACGTCTCGTGGTCTGAATAAACTTTGAAGTGCCTCCCAAGCAAGTAGTGCTTCCAGTCGTCTAATGCTTGCCTGAGAGCGTAGAGTTCCCTCTCATAGGTTGATGTTGTTACCTTCTCTGATGGCATCCTAACGGACATGAACTCTACCGGTCTATATCCATTGCCATCATCTTGCTGTACAACAACACCTATACCATATTGACTAGCATCAGTGGTGAGAACAAAAGGTTAGGATGGATCAGCTACCTTGAGGATTGGGTATTCTATCAAAGCCCGCTTCAACTTCTTTAGGGTCGATCTACAATCTTGGTCCCACTTCCAGATCGCTTTTTTCTTTAACAATCTGCGAAGGGAAGCAACGATGGCAGAGAAGTTCCTCACGAACTTCCTGTAGTAATTTGCCAACCCTAGGAATGACCGCAACTCTGTCAATGTGCGGGGAGTCAGTCAGTCTCTAATCGCTGCTATCTTGCTGTCCACAGACTTTATGCCATCTCCATCTAAAACATGGCCCAAGTACAAAACTTGCGTCTTCGCCCACTCATACTTCTTCGCATTGATCTTGAAGTTAGCTTCTCTTAGCTTCTCCAAGACCTGCCTTAGATGAGCCTCGTGCTCCTGAAGGGTCTTGCTGAACACTAGAATATCATCTAGGTACACAATCACAAATCTATCTAACCACGGCCTAAACAAATCGTTCATGCGGCGCTGAAATGTGGCCGGTGCGTTGGTTAGTCCAAAGGGCATCACTATAAACTCTTAGTGCCCGTATCTAGTCCTGAACACCGTCTTGTACTGATCATCAGGATGAACCTCTATTTGATGATAGTTTGACTTCAAGTCTATTTTGGAGAAATACTTGCAGCCCTGCATCCGATCCAACACATCATCTATCCGGGGCAATGGTTCTGCATTCTTCACTGTGATGGCGTTAAGACCTCTATAGTCAATGCACATTCGTAACTCTACCTCCTTCTTGGGGACGAAAGGACAGGCGCTCCAAACGGAGACGAACTGGGCCTAATCCAACCCTTCTCGAGGAGCTCGTCTAACTACTTGCGCAGCTCCTCTAACTCCCTTGGGGACATCCTATACACAACTCCCGTAGGGGTCCTACTGTCAAGGTCTATCTTAATGCGATGTTGGATTGGTCGTTGTACTACTCTGCTAGCCGGCTCAGACAAGTCTGCATACTCTTCCATCAACTTGGCAATGCGAGGGTCGATCAACTCTTCCTGTTTAGGCTCAGTAACTGGCCTAACATAGGCTGCAACGACCAGTTCTTCTAGTTGCTCCTTCTTCACTAATCTTGCGAATGCAGGAGCGCTGAGGCAGCAATGCGCTAAGGGGTTATCTACCCCTGACACATGAAACAGGCGAGAAGTCTTAACTTCACCTGATGGGCTAGGGAGAGCTCTCTCAAATGGAGTAAGGCTCCTGCTGCCTCTCCCCAGTCCATTCCTAGAACCATATTGAATGGGAGATTGTCCTGTACGAGGAGAGTCAGGGAATGGAGAACTCTCTCTACCTTCCCATCTTTCTCTAGGCGGAAATATGCTTGGACTCCCTCGATTCGCATAGTGCGATTGTCTGCGAGGATACTAACTATGGGTTCTTCTAACTTTTGGACTTTCAAATTCAACTTTAGCTTTTGCAGCGCTTTACAACTAATGTAGCTTCGGGTGGCTCCACTGTTTATAAGGGCCCCTACTTTGCGTCTAAAAACCTCCACGTCTACTAGCACTAGCTGTCCTGTTCCATCCTTTCTCATCTTGGCCCAGGCTGGCATCCTCTCCCTCAACTCTTCTGCCACACCTGTGAGGAAATTGCCTAGAGAGACTCCAACGCAAGCAATCTTTGGACAACTACCTAGGCACTGGCCAGCAACCTCTACCATAGACACATGTGGTTTGGGAGTTTTTGTTTGGTGCGCACACTCTTCTTCACATGGTCTAGGGGTAAGGGCAGTTGCAACCCCTACCTACGGTTGCCTTTTGCTGCCTCTGCAGCGGCTCGCCAGACATCTCTATATTTGGGGCAGTTTTTAATACTGTGCCCCGGATCACCGTCGTAGATGCAATGATTCGCGTTTATTCTCCTCTGCCACACGGTCTGCTCTAAACCCAACGCTTCCCAGGGTCTGCCTTGCGGCAGGCCAGGGTGCCATTCACTCCTCCTGGGAGGGGATCGATAAGAACGCGGAAGGTTTTGCGGGGGACTTTGATCCCTACCTCCTCTTGACGATTTCCTCTGCCGCCAACCCCATGATCGCCCTGTCCTCGACCACCAGAAGCCCGACCCCTTGGCCCCGGCCTCTCCCTCTTCCTTGCGGCCTCCCTTCGACCGCGACAACAGCATAAGTCCTCCTCTGACTAGTGCTACTGTCTTCTTCCTCTAGGCCCCACCCGATTTGACTGAAGGGGACCTCTTCCATACCACCCTCATCTAACGTAAGGACCAAATGATCCTTGGCCCTGACTTGGCAAGAGATGGTATGACCTTTCCACTTTTGCCCCTTGTCCAAAATATTAAATAAATCCTAAGTCTCCAATTAAGTGGGGCTTATCAGAGAATCCTCTTCCTATCCAACGTATATATAGCTTGGCTAGCCTACCTCTTTCTCTAGTGTCGATCGAGGCGCGCTAGTGGAATTTCCCAGTTTCGAAATCAGATATTATATTATGAAAGCTTTAGACACAAGATATACTTCGTGAGGTGGTCACATGGACGTAGATGATACATTCAGGACCACTCTCTTTCCCTGTCCCTTGGGATGTATGCCAGAAAGTGGATGCTGGCATGGACTGGGCTTCAAAAGTCACCACCTCCCTACTCAATGTATCGTATGTCATGGTGGTCTGTTTACTCATCCCGAAGAAGTGCCCGTGCAAAGCATCGGGCATGGCACGACAATAATTGAACTAACTGGGTCTCAGTGACCCTATGCCCAGGGACGGCAACCAATTCGTCCATAACTCCCTTGAGTGCCCTAACACTCTTCCGTTGACGGCAGTGGATGGTTTGCAGTTTGTTAGAGGCCCTAAGCCCCCGAGTGGCATCTGCGAATCTTTCGCGAAGCAACTTAAAAAATTCGCTCATGGGGGTGATGATGGAATATGCTACCATATCATTTTCGCATTTAGCGACGCGGGCAAGGGACCTAGCGAAGCTAGATGCTTCATCTTTGACGGCATGGAAGGCAATGAGGACTTGCTCCTCAGGCAAAATCTTTTGGAGGTGAACGTAAGACCAATTGTCGAAGTTCTCCCCTTTCTTCCCACTGTAGGAGTCGGGGAACTTCACTTTCACTAACTCTCTACGGGGACGGGCTTCCTCCTCCTTTGGAGCAGCAAGCTTCACGCCTTCTATGGCGCCTGTGCAGAATCGCTCCGTATTTTCTATCCTCGCCTTCATCTATGTGCCCTCATCCATCATCATCTCTTGTGCAAACTCTCAAAAGCCCGGGCATATGGACTGTAAGGCTATATCCTGGCCCCTCACGAACTGATATTATTCTTGTTGGGCCTTCGCCGAAAGTCCTATGTTCCTAGCCATGATTTCCATTTTTCCTTGAAGATTTGTCTGGCTTTCCATCTGCCTTCTCTGCTCATTTACTACCCTCAACTCCTTCTCCATCTTATCCGCCGCTTCCAGCCGTTGCCTTCTCTCTCTTGTGAGGCGCAATTTCCACTCCAACCTTTTCTCTTCTTCCATTGTCGCGCGGCATAGGGGATCTTCCTCCGCCTGCAACTCCCTCATCACTGCCTCTTGTTCTGTCCTGGGGACATACAACATCGCTTCGTCTTCTTCTCCCAGGGACAGCTTGGCGACCCACTCCGACACCTTTTTTTCCATCCACTGCTCTTCTTTCTTCGTGCCGCTCGATTCCCCTCTTTCCCTTTTTACGTTTCTTTCCAAGGGGACTTCTTCCTCTACTTCTTCTTCCTCCACTGCCTTGAACTTCTCTTCCTCTTCTTTCTTTAATCTCTCCATTTCCTCCTCCACCTTCTTCTTCTTCGTCGCCTGCTCCTCCAGTAAGGCCAACTTCTTGGCCTGCTTTATCAACTCTTTCTTCGCCTCCTTTTCTTTTCTCTCTTTTAACAGGGCGGTGGCTTGCTCTTCCTGAGCCTTAGTACACTAGGCGGTGCTCGTACCGCTACGCAGGTCCACCATGGTGAAAGGTGCACAACCAAGTGACAGTTCCAATCCTCACCACTTAGACTTCCACCGACTGTCTGACTAACTAACTGACTGACTCTCTAAGGACGACAAAGTCTTCCCCTTTGTTCCAGCCAGGTTACCACAGCCGATGGAAGCTTTTGCAACCACTGTCCTTTACAATCCTCGACCCAGGATGCCCTGCACCTGCGGTCAACCCACCTGCTTTCACTTCGGTCCAGAACCTGTCAACTAGGGTCTCTAGCCTAGACCTATGGCTACGACTGTCACTACAGGACTTCGTTGCTGATCAGGAGGCCTTTCAAGGAGATCCCCCAGAACTCCTAAAAAATCCTTTAACGTCGCAGACAGGACGACGCGATCAGAAAGTCCTCTCAAGACTTAGACAGCCGGTTGTGCAGCCCACAACTCGGATTTTGGGCAAAACCATGCCACACTGAGCAGCTCGTCGGTCTGTACCGGTCCTTAGGAGAGTTAGGCCTCTGGGACGTGTCAGTCGCCAGACATGGACAACAGCCCTCCTCAGCCCGTGTGGGTTTGGTCAACACAGCTCTATGACCACATACATGGAGTTCCTATTACCTGGACAAAAGAGACTCAATGCACAAAGAAGAGATAGACAGACTTAGCAAGTACCACGGCGTGAGTGCCCATCCATAGGGCAAGGGGATAGGCTGAAGGCTTGGTGAAATTATACCAACTCCAGCTTGGTCAAACTTCAGTCAACAGCCTTGGTCAACGCCGGTCAACATTACGGTCAATGATGGTAGCCACCTTGGTCAACGCTGGTCAACGTCTTGGTCAACGCCTCAGGCAACGCTGGTCAACGCCTCGGTCAACTTCAGTAAGCTCGGCTATGGCTGCCGACCCCTTCTCCTTCACCAACCTTCACCTTCCTCCTCCTCTCTTCACCTTCACCCTTGGCTATGGCTTCTCTCTCCTCCTTCGTCTTTTCACCTTCACCTCCAGCTACGGCTTCTTTTTCCTCCTTCGTTTGTTCTTCCTCCTTCACTTTCTTTCTTCTTTCGAACTTTATCTTCTCGCCCACTTCTAGTCTCCTCCTTCGTCTTCCTCTCTGTGTCCAAGCTCGACGGCTATGGCCGCCACCTTCTTCCTTCAGCCACAAGAACCAATCTTTTATCGCTCCTCTCTCTCTCTCTCTCTCTCTCTCTCTCTCTCTCTCTCTCTCTCTCTCTCTCTCTCTCTCTCTCTCNCTCTCTCTCTCTCTCTCTCTCTCTCTCTCTCTCTCTCTCTCTCTCTCTCTCTCTCTCTCTCTCTCTCTCTCTCTCTCTCTCTCTTCTTCGTCGTCATTGTCTGTGCAGGTACGCAGCGTCTTCCTGCAGCGGCGCAGCTATGGCGGCTCCTTCCTCTTGACGGCGACGATGGCGGTGGAACAGCGGGAACCAGCTCTGATACCAATGCAATCAGACTCGTCGTCTTTCTACTCAGCATGCATGAAAACAGATGGCAATCAAACTGGCGACGAGCGCCCACACAAAGGTCAGAGATATCGTGGCCAAGAACACAGTTCTGGTTCAACTTGTTTCAAATGGCTATGGCGCCTGTGCGCCCTCACATCCCTCTTCCGACACTGTATCCTCAGCAACTGTTCACACGCACGCTACTCTGGATCTCCCTGGATGTCCCACACACGCACACAACTCACTGCACACTCATACACAAACACGCTGTAGCCTATCTCTAACGTAGCGCAGCTATGGCTGCTGGCTAATTCTACCACTATGGCCGCTTCGTCTCCCTCACAGCCCACTTCTCCTTCGGGCACTAGCAGACCTCCTTGCACAAGTCGCCCAGTTAGCGCTTCTGCACGGCTCACAGTCTGAATGAATGAATAACTGGACGCTGCCTCTTGATTTATACTTCGGTTGGTCGCTGGTCTGCTCCTTTCCTTTGGGCCTAGGATGCACACAGTCCCACATGGTACTTGCTGACTGGACAAGGTGCGACTGGAACTGGGTACCCCTGACTGGACCTGGTAAGTCTGCCCGCTTGCCTACGGACTGCTTCTGAGACTCTCGAAGGGGCAGTCCTAGAAGACTCTAGACCTTCCTACTTGCCCTTTCGGTACTGTAGCAGCTACGACTAAGGTTGACCTTTCAGACCTACAGCAGCTACGACCGGACATAAGCTACGACTTCTACCCTACAGGTAAGCAGCTCGAACCTACTCAACCCTCGTATGTGCAAAAGCCTTAGACAGACAACTTTAGGGGCAGGTCACGGGTTCATACCTAGATGGGGCAAACTGTACTGTACACGGGTTCGGGGCAGGTCTAGGAATCGAGCCCTGGGATCTGCATCTGCTACCACGGTTTCAGTAGTGCAATGATAACTCATTTTTGTGACCCCCACGTAGTTTCCCCATTAAAGAAACGCCTTGAAAACTTTAGCTGGTTTGGAGCTGGCATCGGACCCTAAAGCTACATAAGCTCAGCGATAGAGGTGAAGAGGTTGAAGCCTCCATGCTTTTCCTCTATCCGAGAAAAATCGAGCAGTGGCAGAGCGACCTGAACCAGTCCAAATCCATCTGGTGCCAGTAACGGCCCAGGTAATGTAAAATCACACCAAAAAGCCAGTAACATAGTCTGCAGAACTACACCCTGCCCTTATGTCCCACCAGAATTCAACTTTTATAATCCTACATCATACATACATAAGGCAAAAGTCAGATGTGTGAAAAGGCAAGACTTGCTGAACTCAAAAGCAGTAGTGACCCGGCTAAAACGAATTTCATCGCCAAGGTAGCATGGAAATATGTCACACAGACGAAAACCCAGGGAGGTCTCGGGGTGCTCGACCCAGAGCTCCAAATAAAAGCGTTGCAGACTAAATGGATCTTAAAAATCCTAACAAACAGCAACCTGCCATGGATCGAGCTGGAGCTGCGCAGAATCAACCAGATCCCTAAGATCCAAACCCCCCATAATATGCGAGGCCTATTCAGGATGATGTCCAAATCCTGGACCATGGATACCACTAAAAGGAACCTAGAAGCAGATGAGCCAGAGGAAAGGCAATCCGGGCATTTTTGGAGAAACCTCTTGATAACATGGAGAGAAATATTCCCGGCAAAGGTAAGAGAGCCTAAGTCCAAAGAAGAAGTGCTCCGCCAACCCATCTTCTGCAACCAATGGATCCTAGGACCGCAAGGCAAACCATGGACACTGACAGCAGCAGATGGCAAGTGGATRCCATGGGTAGAGAAGGGAATTTGGCAAATCAAACACCTCTGGTCGAGCTCAGAAGGAAGATGGAAAACRGTYGGAGAACTCAGACAAACGTTGAAGGGATGCCACAATCTACAGAGTAACCTCAATAACCTACTCATCTCCATCCCAGACAATTGGCTAACCCTCCTCAAAACCCCCTCAAAATGGTCTCCGGGAGACTGGCTCACAAACACAAAGGACGTCACACCGAGGACGGCCTACCTACTACGCACAAGGGAGGGACCCGGGAACAACTGGCTTATYTGCGACATGTRTGAAATCSAATGTCCTGGAAGCACAACAAGTCTGSTTAGTAAAAACATGGCAGGAGASATAGCCCTCCCAATGAGCCTAGCTAGGAAAGTAAGAGTCGTTGAAAAYGATAAACRCACAATCTATAGCCCCACAACAGACCTACAGGATCTAGAATTCGATCCAGCGGAATGGGCATGRAAAMGGAGATTAGGAAGCCTCTCAATAGAGAAGAGAACAAACATCTTAGACTACACCACTAAACTAGGGTACAGACTWAGAATGAGAGCCCAACCAATAACACAAATCATTAGYCAAAGATGGGAAACACATCTTAATATACCACTGAGTGAAACACAYGTCAGATCATGGAATAAACTCTTGGCCATCACCTCTACCAGGATAAGGAGTTTCCAATGGCAACTGGCCCACCTAGCCCTACCAGTCAACCAATGGCTAAACAAGAGGCGCAGCACGCAGACGAGATCCACCATACAARAWTTATGCGTCATATGCCAAGAAGGGACAGTAGAGAATGTCACTCATTGCCTCTTAACCTGCCCCAAAGCAAGACAACTTTGGGCTAAAGCAGCCGAGCTATGGCAGTCAATTACCGGCAAGCCCTTACCAAGCGATCCAGTTACCCTGCTCCTAGGACTTCACACCCCCTCCACGTGGCAAAGCTTCGAATACTCGCTGTACCAAGTATTGAGGCTAGCCGCATTATGGGCTATCTGGAAACGCAGATGCCAGGAAACGATAGACAATTCACAGATGCTGAGCCAGGAAGCTTGGGAAGGGTCATTGCAACTAATTGAAACAGAATACAGAGGACGTTGGAAAAGAACCCTCCAAAAAATCAGACAAAATATAGAAGATAAGGACAAAATCATACAAATTTTCATCATAAAACAGCTAGGAAACGGGAAAATAGCAACAATAGAAAAGGAACGCATCAGGTTCGGGCAATGGAGAGGCAGCGGCCCATCTCACCCACACGGCACGGAAGCGCCAAGATCCAGATCCCATCTCACAGACATAACCACGAACGTGGTTTACCACACCCACTTCTCGGACACCTCCCTCACTGCCCACAAACACGGGGGAACCTGCCCCTCCCCAGCCATTTCAGAACTGAGGGCAAGGAGCACCAGACAGCCTAAAACAGTAATCCCCAGAAGCCACACACTCCATGAAGCCAAACACAAACTAACACAGCATACGGAAACAACCCAAGCCTAACGACACCCACAATACTAATACTCCCACCACCAGATCTACCTCAGCCAACACCGTCACCAAACTGATCCAGTGCCGCRCACCCTCTTCAGCAACACCAACCTCATTACCACCTCCACTCCCACATATTGTCTCACGACCCCCCCCCTCTCCACCCGAACCCCAACAAACATATATCAGGTCATACAGCCCCCCATTCCCCCCCCCGCCGCACCATAACCTG